GAGAGAGAGAGAGAGAGAGAGAGAGAGAGAGAGAGAGAGAGAGAGAGAGAATGATATGGATATATGCATAATTTCTTACTTTATATTTTGCATTTAATTTTCTTCCTAGTTATACTATGATATTTATGATGATGATGAGCCCCACCGGAGTCACTCCTATGAGATGGGAGGTATAGGAATGTGATGAATGGATAGATCACAATAGGCCAGAGACTGGGATGATTTAACTGTGATTTATTGCACAAGCCAGGATGGGTGCAGTTGCCAGGTGTGGTTTTCAAGATGAAATGGGTTCAGCCAAGGTGGTACATTAAAGGCAACTGTCCAGTCCCTCTATGAAGGAGATGGGAAATTAAAACAGATTAGATTAGATCAGACACAATTAAATATCTATCTTATCTATTTATCTATCTCCAGTCTGTCTGTCCGTCCGTCCGTCCATCCATCCATCCATCTATCTATCTATCATCTATTGAGAGTGAGAGTAGAATGTCTATATAATTTTACACTCAGAGTAGAGAGAGATGGGCAATTAAGGCAGATAAATATACATATATACATATACACATACGTGGGTGTATAAGGGTTTATATATGTACTGTAGTGTGTATATATCTATTGAGAGAGTGAGAGTAGAATGTCTATATAATTTTACACTCACAGATATATATATGTAAGAAGGTTTTGGCTGGGGTGTGTTGCAAAAAGGTTTACCTTGGTAAACAGGGAATTATTGGCTGAAACTCCATATTTATTCCTGAGAAGGTTGTTGTGATAACTCTTTGATTTACAGCCAGAAGACCTACAATGATTGTTTTGGGTGAAACCATCTGTTTACTCTTGAAACATACTGGCATATCATTGTATTTATTTATAGCCAGAAGTCCTGCAAATGTTATTTTGGGTGAAACCACATGTTTTAACTCTTGAAATGGATATATATTAGCAGCTTTTTATTATAATTGTACTTATTTATAGCCAGGAGATCTGTAATTATGATTTTGGCCCAGCAAAAAACTTTTGTATGAGAATTGTGTTTATTTAGACCTGGATAATGTATAAGATACTCATTAGATTTATATAGTCGCCCTCCTCATATCTGTGACTCCAGGCAGCTTAAATAAGACTGATAAAATACAGAATGGAATGTATAGAGTTGACTCTGGATTTGTGTAATCAAAGCCCGTGTTTTGAAATGGCTTGCAAGCAAGTTGTCAGTTAATGGAGTGCTAGAAATTGGCCAAGCTAAAAATTCCAGTAAAATGGTTGCTGGGGACTGGTCAAGATAAATGTGTAACCTGGTCAAAATCTTCTCCCTGTGCATTGTCTCAGAGCAATCTCCGTGGTTACTATCCTGGTTTGGAGTTAACCTGCTTGTTTCCTCCTCACAGCCATGACCATGCAGTTCATCAGTCATCGGTTTCCAGAAGACCACGATCCCACGATCGGTGAGTGGGCCTGGCTGCTGCTTTAGCCTTTTCTTAATTATGGACCCTCTTAATAAATTTGCCTGGGGAAAGTTTGCAAGGAGCAAATGACTTTTGTGCTCAAGCCATCCCTGTGTGGGGAGGAGCTAAGAATGAACCCCGAATAAAGACACCAAAACTTTATGACTCAAGGAGCTGTTACTTTCTATTACCACAATCCAGAAAATATAGGGGGCTTGATACTTCTGTAGTATGCGTGCAGCTAGAATCACAAAATAAGACACCCCCCCCCCCCCAAATCCTCTTAGAATGCAAACAATTGACTATTAGATTGTATGCTGGGACTCTTCCTCGTTCATCTGTCTAATCTCTGTTGAATTCGCAAGCTGATTTATCGCCCAGGCATATACTGTATANCCCGCCACAAGCCACAAATTATAGTCATAATTAGAAAAGGAGGTGGGTAATAGGAAAGACGAGAAGAATAATAGGTATACAGCCTTACTTAACAGTTTGACAGCGTTGTGGGAATTAGTTGTTTAGCATTAATTTCCCACCCCTTAACAAACAAACAACCCCCCCCCCCGATTTTGATTTTTCACTACTAAACCTGTTTGCAAATTGTTAAGTTTGCCATCTCTCTCCTTTTTTTATTTTGAAAAAGCAATTTGGGCCAAGAACGCTTTCTTCCTTTTTTGACATATATTCTTTGAAACGGAGCGCTCCCCAACCGCACCAGCCTTGCTAACTTAATTTTCTGTTTTTTTCTTCTTCTTTTTTTTTGTGTCTTTCTCTCTCTCTCTCTCTCTCTTTTCTCTTACATGGTACTGGCGGACCACAACACCGTTGGCGGGACGCCGGGTCGCTCGACATCCACCGATCTGGGGGGCGACCGTTGATTCGGGGGCCTTCAAACCGGTGTCCGACTAACGTTTTTGTTTTGTTTTTAAATTAACCTGTTTTGGGGGGAAATGTTTGATCCTTCTCTTCCCTTTTTTTCCTACCTCCCCACCACCTTTATTTTGGGGACTGGGTGGGGGGGGCGATGTGGGGCGGGGGAGGACTGGTTTTCTTTCTTTTTTTTTTTTTCTTTTTCCCCCCTTCTCTTTTGTCCTTTAGATCATCCCTCCAAGAAGATGAAAGGCCGAGAAAAGGAACTCGGGCTGGTGGCCTACACCGGCGACTCGTCGGACGAAGAGGAAGACCACGGGGGTCTTAAAAATGCAAGTACCTACTCCCAAACCTGGAGGCTCGGATACCAGTACCCGTCGTCACAGCAGCGGGCGAAGCAACAGATGCCGTTCTGGATGGCCCCTTAGGGTCTCCCCGTCTTCGCCCTTCCGCCTCGAGCAATAAAACCGCATGTATTCCGATCAAGAGACAAGTCCGCGCCAACTCAGAAGCTCCTCCCCCCTGCTCTCTGCACACGCTTGTGAGATGCAGTTACGACTCTATTTTTATTTTCCTTTTCGTGTGGCTGGGCTCTTTTTTATGCCCTATCCCCACCCCCTCTGGTACCGAACATCCGCCGTTTGGAGCGACTCACGGCGGGGAGGGGGAAACCGCCGGATACTTCGGCAGCACGGCGGCCGATCCTCCGCGGGTTGCGTGCGATCACGCACCAAGGAGCGTCCTCGTCTTGCCTGGGCTCCCAAATCTTCTCAGTAGCGGCTTTTCAGAAGAGGGGTCAGCCTGCTTGGGCCCCCCCCTGCGTCACAACCGGCTGCCGTTCCGTGTTTGTTTCTTGCTGGGAAGAATTTCCGCTCCCCCCCCCTTCCCCTCCGG